GTTGCGCGCTAATCCACGCAGTCCAGCTGAAACGACTGCATTATTGCGCATCGCTCAGCCGCTTTAATTGCATGTCAACGTTTCAAAAGGTGAGTCTATTATAAGGTTTTTAGCGCACGTGACCTGCATAACACGGTCCATTTACAGCGGCCTAGTGAATCTCATTCGATAACCTGAAACGACGTGTAGGTGTAATTATTGTTACGTGTAGGCACATAGGCGTGTAAACGATCGCTAGCCAGTGGAAAAGGTGAATAATATTTGTTTTTCTATTGGAATTCTATATCGGAGGTGTGATAAATGTCGAGATACTGTGTTTCAGATTTCGCTGGGATTTTGCGTTTTAATGATTATTTCGCGTAATACACGTGTACAGTCGCTGGCGAAGAAATCACAACTTCAACATTGCGCGTCTTTCGTAAATTTTAAGATTCTGAACGTAATTCAATTTTGCGTAAATTAACAATAATTCTATTAAATTATCATTATAATTATAATATATTATAATATATTAATATATATTTCTATAATATATTTTATATAATTCTATTAAATTATTATAATTATAATTATAATATATTATACTATATTTATAATATATTATAAATTATAATATTTCCTTGCTTTTCACTATTGTATTAAAACTTGTATGAACTGTAGAATTCCTACATATGAGGAGTGAATTCCTATCAGTTACAAGTGATGTAAGTAACTAACAACAAGTGAATCACAATAGATTCAACTCATCCGAACGTAAAGGACTCAAGTTCAAGCAAAATATGAAAAAGTTCTCGCCAGTGTGCATTGTTCTTCGATTGAACGTCTCCTAAAATTATTATAAATCTTCATTGCTAATCTAACTAATCTAACACTGCATGAACCGAGTGTGAAATTGAAATGTAAAAATTCATAAGAAACGTTGCATTAAGTTTGGATTACATTTTTTTTTTTTTTTTTTTTTTGGTTTAATCTTGCCGCGAAGGCGAAATTTTCGAAACGAAAGAAGGTGACGAAGGTTTAAATAAGATAACTATGATTGAAATGGATAGAACGCTGTTCGCACGTTCGAGTGCCTGCCGGAATTCGGTGCTCCCCATCATACTAATTCGCATACACCAAGCAAGTATGGATAATTTTATCCTCGATCGAAGATTCGTTCGATTCTGCCGATGGCACTCGATCGATGTCTGTGCTTCTTTCAATTTAGGACACGCTGCAGACTACCACTATATTTAAACTGGACAATAGAGATCTCTCCTTCATAATTAATCGGAACTCGGTGGTTCTTATCTTTGACAAGAGTCCCATTGATCAAATTCATTTTATCGTTCGTGTAAATAGATTTGAAATAAGAGAGTAGAGTACACTAACATTATAATTCAGCTCGAATTGCAAATTTCAAACATTCCTCCATTCTTATTCTCTGGCCAAAGCGAACGTCGTTTTTTTTTTTATTTTATTTTATTAATTAATTTATTTATTTTATTGTATTAATTAAATTTTATTTATTTTTTTTTATTATTTTTATTAATTTTTATTTTATTTTATTTTATTAATTAAAGAATCGATTGAAAACCAATTGAATTGATTTGAAAGATAAGAGGAATAACAATATGACTCGTTTGTCTGCCACGAAAAACAGAGAATTGTATTTACACCATTTTCTAGATTTCTTTTAATATTTAAACTCAAATAAATATTGCAGTAAATTATTTATCATTCCAAATTTTTGCTGTTTAGTGATGCTAATTATCAAAGAAATTTATTTTATAAATATATAATATACAAAATTAAGCAAACCAGTCAAATTCTTCTTTTTCAAAGATGAGTTTATATCATGCAGTGAGTGAAGAAGCGAAAGTACTTCTTTTTGAAAATTATAAGAATCCAAACGTTTCTAAAAATATTTAAAAAATTCTTTTTCCTGGCTATATCCATCCGTCATTTTGAAGAATAAAGTCTTCCCTTTAAACCCTTGAAACTTGGTATATGTATGATTCTTTTTTTATTAAACTGTGAATATCAGGATTAAACGACGAAAGTCGGAGAAATGTTCAAAGTTCAACAAAATGGTGAACAAAAATATCGTAAGTTCCAAGGAGTCATTGTAGAAAAAAATATATCAGTCTTCAAGACCGTGGCGGATCTGGTCATTAAAAAAAATTATTCCATGTTTTTACGAACGTTTAAATTTTTACAATGGCCAAAAAACAATATCCTCACTCTCTCACTCGCTACACGAAATATATATATATTTTTTTATGTATTAAATTTCTCTTTTTTTATGTATCGACCATTTCTCGTTGTTATTGATTCAATTACGCTCTTCACCGTAAACGAACGACTCGTATATAAACACAAGAATCGATCCACTCTGCAAATAGTGTCAAAAATTCGACAATCTGCCAGAATAATTCATGCAGTCAATATTCATATTCTCTCGTAAAAGAAAACCAAAAAAAAAAAAA